CATAAAATTCCTAGTTAACTTAAAATTTAGTAGTACAGTATTTTTTTTTTAAATAGCCTTAAAACAAAGACTTCTCACATTAATTCTATCAATTATAGCTGGACTTGGCAATAAAAAAAAAAAATGTTAATAGTTGAAGAGAGTAGTGGTAGGGGAAGTGGGTTAAGTAGTTTTAGCGTTAGGAGGAAGGTCGCGTAATCGTGTAGAAATAGGTTAAAAGTTGATAGTGAGTAATATTACTGGTGAGGTTGAGCATGTTTCGACATGTTCAACCTCACCAGTAATATTATTCACATCAACTTTTAAATATAATATAAATATAATACGTAATTAAATATAAACAACTTGCTGTTGGATTAGATCATATTTCAACAAGCTGAATAAGTTCAGTATCTCGCTGGCCATCTAATGGCACACACAGTTTATATCCAGCATTCGAACGCTACTGTGCTTTTATTTTTATTTCTGGAATATGGCTCACAGAAATGTAATTTCTCCTGACAGCTTCTGTTTGTGGTGAAAACCCTTTATCTGATTCCCTCTTTTTGGAAATGGGAGAAAAGGAAAAAGAAGCATGGAACTCTTTTAAGAATGTAGTGCATAAGTTTTTGGGGAATACTAAGGACCCTGATTACAAAATCATTGTACAACGTATGCTGGCAGCATATGAAGCTCAAGGATGCAAGATGAGCTTAAAAGTTCATTTCTTACACTCCCATATTGACTATTTTCCCGAAAACTTGGGAGCATACAGTGAAGAATTTAACCAGGATGTCCGTGATATCGAGAGACATTACCAAGGGAAATGGGATGTCAATATGTTAACTGACTACTGTTGGATGCTCAATTGAGAAAACAGAGAAGGAAATCGGAAATATTCCGATTTCCAATAAAGGAAGGAGTTTGGAGAATATTCTGTGTAATATTCTGAATATATCATGACAATAATTGGTTTTGTCTAAACTGATAATTGTATATTGAGTCAGAGTAATGATTAGCTATAAATCACCTCAGTAACCTTAGTTTTATTCCAATAATATCTTAAAAATGACAAATGTTTTCAAACAGTTTGACTGTCCTGCTTCAGGTATGTGTTCCATTTAGAATTTCATTGTTTTTAAGATATTACTGGAAAGGTTACTGAGGTGATTTATATCTTCACTTTTCCGGTTTTGATTTGTTTCGATTTTAAGTAATGATTAGCAATTTGAAAATAAATCTAATTTTACTTTTTAAAGTAATCTCCATTAGATTCTTCATGTGAAGTTTTTCAAAAGATTAATTTACTGTATGTCAAAAATTATAGTGTTGAAAAACTCAAAGTATTGCATACATTTAATATTGCATCATTTTACTGAACATACAGTGTGTAATGACGGTAAAAACAAAGAATATAGATATTGAACTTTTATCAGATTTTCATCTAGGCTATTACAAATTTTATAAATTTTTCATTCATAGTTATAGACATCCTACATAATATTAAATAATTTGCTTTAATAAACAAGTATAAATATTGAATAATACTAAATATATAATCTAATTTATTAAGACAGCAAATAAAATAATATCAAAAAAGTTAATGCCTGCACCTAACAGAAGTTTACATAAAATATTTAAATTTTGAATATCATTCATACACAACAACTGAATATTGAAAGATAGAAAATTAATTTAATTGACTCAACTCAAAATTGGCACAGGAAAAAAAGAAAAAAAGCTCTTTTTGGAAGTGTTTTTTAAATATAACTTTTAAAAAATATTTCAAATTTTAAAAACATTAAAGATAGAAAAGTTCAATTAGTTCATTATTATATTGTTTTGATGAATCAATACTTTAATGATTATTTTTATTATAAATTTTTAATAAAAATATATTTAACTATAATTTCAAATGCAGTCTATCATTCCTTTCTAATATTTTTGTATGACAGTTTTTTTTTGTAAAGATTAAACATTGCCAAACATTAAACATTAAAAAAAAACTAACCACATATTTCCTTGATTCTAAGATTTATTTTCTTTTACTGGTAGGTGTGTGTGTCTTAGAATCAATAGTATCTTATATTGAAAGTCCAAAAACAATAATCAGAGTCATCATGAATAGATAATAATTCAAATTGATGCATTATGTTAACTATAATACTAAATATTCAGATCTGTTTGCATGAGTTTTGCTAGTAACAAATGATTAAATTAAATTAATGTATAAAACAACTTCAAGATGATATTACAAAAAAGCATTAAAATGAATTGTTGTTTATATGCAAGGGAGCATAAAAATATAGCTGCTTAATATCACCTATTTTATGGTACTTTTGTTGTTAACTTCAAAGAATCAAACTAATTATTATTGATTGTATAATGTTTAAATGTAATATTAACTTATCTCAAGAGTTTATCAGCTTTAACTTTTTTGTTATCATATTTAAAAAATGTAAGAAATGTGATCATCTGTAGATGATTCATTAAGAAAATGTTTTCAGTAAAAAGTACATAATTGTTTAAAGTAAAAACTTTTGATAGCCAAATTGCAGTTTAAAATAAGATTTATTAACACTTTATTAAGACTTTACATAAAGTGTGAAATCAATACCTGAATTTGTTTATATATTATTAAAAAATTGAATATCTATGCATCTATTTACAAATGTAAAATAATTTGTCATTATTTTGTAACACTGTTTAATATTGGTGCAAAGAATATCAAATTTTTGTTTCCCAAGACAACAGCCATTGTACAACTTTGAATCAAGGAATAATAAGAATATTTATGTCATGTTTTAGTCTAATACTGTAGAATAAGGATGTATTAAATGATTTTTCTATAGTTTTTAGTTTTACACTTTTACCACAATAGTGACATGAAAATTAATGATGGGAATGGCAAGCCTATAGTTTTGCTAAAAAGAAAATTGAAAAAACTCTTACATTTTTTTTTATTTTTGAAGCTACTGTTTCATATAACCTGACATGTGGGAATACAGGGATAATGAAATAGTTAGTGACTAAATTCTTGTTGAGTTTTACATTAGTTATATATTTAGAAATAATTTTAGCATATTATTTAATAAATTGAATTGCTGTGTAAGTTTGTTTATTTGTAATTTCATTTTCAAATATATACAATGAACATTTACCTGAAACTAAATTGTGACTTTTCTTCTTTTTTAAAATCTGTAATACAAGAAATTTGTTTTAGAAAAAGGCAGTAATATTACAATATTAATAATTTTTTTTTTATTAAAGTAAAATATTAAATAAAAACATTATTTATTAAAATATTTTCTATTGATTTAATATTTGTAAAATGCATTAAATATCAAAGAAACTTTATGTCTTTGTATTAGCACAAAGAATTGTATATTTATCATTTGCAATTATTAGCCAACATTTGAAAGAAACAGAGGTTAAAATCTTGCCAAGTTATATGAATATTTCTAATAAAAAATTTAATTTTACAGTTTTAAGACCTCCAAAATCTTACAATCGCAACTGAGAAAAATTTGTAAAGAGAAGGAAGATTCTTATGGTTTCCACCACTAAATTATAAACTTTTTGTCAACCAATTGTATAGCGAATCTAAAATGGAGATTTTAGTAACTTCTCAACAAGGCATTTCGTTTTAAGAAGGAAAAGTTTATAAAAGGAATGAGAAAAAAGGGATGACGATGAATGAAGTTGCTTCTTCTGTTTCGTGTCCAAATTTTCGTCATGATAATAATTGAATAGGAAAGTGACAAAAGTTCAGAATAGAGGAGTTCAAAGGAAAAGGAAAGTAACATTAATTAAGCTTTCATTTTCTTCTTCCACCGTGTGGTTGGCTAGATCTTGAGAAAATGGAAAAAGAAAGCGAATAAAAATCAAGAAAGACCAAAAAGGTAAACCAGTTAAGGAAAATTAAATAACCAAATGTTTTCCATCTTCGAAACGTTCCTTTAAGAAACTGCATAAATCTTTAAAAAAGTTAGAAATATATTAGAGGTAAAGATGTAGGTGTCTTTTAATAAAGATCTTTTATTTATATTTTATATTCACAAAATGTTTATTATCATTTTAACGGTGTTTCCATCCTCGAAAACTTTACAAAAAGTCGCTAAATAAATTGGTCGGATATCCTGACGGCTTAGCTTCGGCCGTCGGGATATCGTTTTGTGGGCCCAATGCTGAATTCAAATTATAGCTGCTCGGAATTTCATGAATGCCAATAGTCGCTATGACAGTAAATCCTCATCCGCACTTGCGGATGAGGCAGTTACTCCCATGAGATTCTACGTTGTGTGACGGCTTCTAGATCCAGTTGAAGAAGCTGAATTACTTGTGATGTAGCGGTGTGTTAGATATATTCAACCCGCTGTTCAATCCTGATACAATGGGTCTTTTAGGCTTTTACAAACTGGGTGACCTTCCACACATTCTACAAGAATCAAGTAAGATAATTTCTTATACTGTACAGGAAAAATTTTCCGTACTCAGTCATATTAGATCCTGGATTGCTATCACAAATATTCTTCTGAAAGAAATTTGAAATATGAAAAAAAATGTACCAAAGCTGAAAATCGTGAAGTGTTTTGTTTGTTTCGAATAAAAATATTTAAATTAGTCCGGACGGCCGAGCGCTCTACCGCTCTGGGGAATCCGGGATTGAGTCTGGACGGGTCGCAAAATCCCCAGGAATTTTTTGGGTGGTGGTACGGATATGTCGAGGCCTGGCTCTCCCCACCCCATTGTTGGCCTGGCCGAACCCATAATGGGCTTGCTAAAAGAGGCTCTCATAATGCCCACAGAGCGAAAAGAGTTAAAGAGTTACATATATTTAAGTTAGTTGTTGAATATCGAATATAATTAATATTAATTGTTTTAAATGAAAATTTTATATTATTTTAATTTTATTAATTAAAATTGAGCTGTAGTTTATATATTTAATTTCTAGATTTAAGCGATTAGAACGTCCGTAAAGCGTGTAAAGTAATTGATTCCATCTAGTGTTGATTCTTGGTACTAAATTGTGATAGTCACTCCACGTGGTTGTTTTTATATTATGTTGCAATAAAAGAAGTTCATTTTTTCATTCATAGAATATGAATTTTGTAATATAATGATGGGAATAATCTTAAGACTATTACGAAATTGTAGAAAACATGTACTTTGGTGTAATCAAGTGCAATATTTATCTCAGAATATTCAGCATAAATCTGATAAAATTAATAAAATTAGGAATATTGGTATTATTGCACACATAGATGCAGGAAAGACAACAACTACAGAAAGATTTTTATATTATTCAGGTTTTACCCACTTTATGGGTGAAGTGCATCATGGAGACACTGTAATGGATTATATGGTACAAGAAAGAGAAAGAGGCATCACAATAGTTTCAGCAGCAATAACTTTTAATTGGAGAGGCCATAAAATTAATTTGATAGATACCCCAGGGCACGTTGATTTTACTATGGAGGTTACGAGAGCTTTGAAAGTGTTAGATGGAGCTATAGTGATTTTGGATGCTTCTGCGGGCGTAGAGGCGCAAACGCTTAAAGTATGGAGTCAAGCCGATAAATATATGGTTCCAAGAATTATTTATTTGAACAAAATGGACAAGCAGTGGGCTAACTGTGGTGCATGTATTAATGATATTGAAGATAAATTAAAAACTAAGTCATTATTGCTACATTTACCTTTAGGAGAAGGTAAAGAATTTAAAGGTGTTATTGATTTAATAACAATGGAAAAAGTGGAATGGAAATTAAATGAAAAAAAAGATGGACAATTATTTGTAAGAACTAGCTTAAAATCTAACATAGATAAAGATTTATGGGAATTAAGTAATAAAAAAAGAGAAGATTTAATTGATCAAATTGCTGATTTAGATGATATCATAGCTGGAAAAATTTTGAATGATGAAACAATTAGAAATATTACTTCTGATGATTTGAATGAAGCATTACGCAGAATTACGCATTTGCAAAAAGCTGTTCCGGTAATGTGTGGAAGTTCGTATCGTAATATTGGAGTTCAGTTATTAATGGACAATATTATAAAATATTTGCCAAATCCATTAGAAAACGAACGTGAATTTGTTCAGTATTATGGCAGTAATTTATGTGCATTAGCTTTCAAGGTACAATATAATAAACAATTTGGGCAGTTGACATTTTTACGCATCTATTCCGGTATTCTTGAAGAAGGAAAAAAGATTTATAATGCAACACAAGATAATTCTGAAAAAGTTGAGAAAGTTATGATAGCATTAGCAGATGAATTAAAAGAAATTAAAATTGCTTATAAAGGAAATATAGTAGTAGTGACAGGTTTAAAAAATATTATAACAGGAGATACTATTACATCATCACATTCAGCAGCTAATAATGCTAGAAAAGAATATGCCAAATGCAAAGATTTAGATATTGATGATGTTCCTGATGTATTAGGAGGAATAGAAGTTCCTGATCCAGTATTTTTTTGTTCCATTGAGCCTCCCTCACTTTCTTATCAAAATATGCTAGATCATGCCTTAAAATGTTTACAAATTGAAGATCCATCTTTTAAAGTTTATGAAGAAGAAGAAACAGGTCAAACAATTATTTCAGGAATGGGAGAATTGCACATAGATGTGATGAAAAAGCGTATTCTTCAGGAATATAAAGTAGATGCTTTCTTAGGACAATTACGAATTGCTTATAAAGAAACAATATTAAACATTTCTGATGATACAATTATTTTAGATAAATTTCTTGGAAACACAAAGCATTTTGTTAAGATTAAGTTATTGATAAAGTCAAGTCCGAGCTCAGGAAAAGTTAAGCATATTAAAGTTATTGTAGATAAAGAAAATGAACTTGGAAAAATTAGATTAGATTATTTGAAAGCAGTTGAGAATGGTGTTGTTTCAGCATTAAATCATGGGCCAGTTTTGGGTTTCCCAGTGTTTGATGTTAAAGTTGAATTACATTGGTTGGAAGTAGGTAGAGGTACTTCTCTTCCTATGATATCAGCTGCAGCTTCTCAATGTGTGGTTTCTGCGTTAAAAAAAGGTGATGCACAACTTTTGGAACCAATAATGAAGATGGAAATTAATACAAATGAAAGTTATCTAGGAAAAATTCTAGCAGACTTATCAAATAGAAGAAGCCAAATTTTAAACATTCAAGTTAAACAAGATGCCAGAATAGTTAATGCTCTTACACCACTTTCAGAATTAATAACTTATACAACTGATATGAGAATTTTAACGTCAGGTAGAGCATCAGTTAATATGGAATTTGAATGCCATAAATTAATGACTTCAGAAGAACTAAGAAAAGTGAAAGAACAAATAACTGGATTTATGTTTAGATGATTAAAATTCAGATGCAAATTATTTATGTATATTTTTATTTATAAAATGATTAAAATTTCATATTTTTTATTATATATACTTAGAATTCATAAATAATTCATAGTTATACATTTATTAAGTTATATATGCAGAATATTAGAAAATTAAATATTAATATAATTAATTACATATTCATAAAATGTTTATATTTAATAATTATTTTTAATGCTTTTATTATTTATTTTAAAACTGAAAAACTATAAAAATTTTTTATATTTAAAAAATTTATTATAATCAAGTCAGAAGTCACAAGTTTCCAGAAGACTAAAATGTTATATTCCTAATTTTATTTTAATACATTTTGATTTATTATCATCTATTGGTTTGATTTGATTTTCTAATCAAAATCAAAATTTGATTTTGATTAGAAAATAATAATAATTCAAAAAATTTTAAATACAAGAAATTTCTATTAGATACATATTGCAATTTCAAATATAATTTACAGGGTGTCTGAGAAAGATCTATTACAAAATTTAATTTAAAAAGAATGAAGTGGTTTATTGAAATGCAGTTTTCAGTAAAAGATAGATAAACCCAAAAAGTGTTTTTTTATTACAAAAATTAATATAAATGCTTAAATTGTTTTATGTACATTGAGTGAATCTGAACCTTTTGAACATTCTTCATGCTTCTTTAGGTTGCATGAAGAATGCCCAATTGATAACTAATTTTCTGCTAGGTACTGTTTGAACAGGACACTGCATCATCTTACTGGACAGTTTCCTTATGTGATTTGCTTGATACAGTGTTTCCTAGACGATTTATTGGCTTTGAGGACCAACATTCTTCTTTCCTAGATTGCTCAACATAACCTCACTGGATGTCTTTTTGTGGGATTATGTGATGCAAATTATTGTTTTGAAAGAAAGGCTAACCCTTGCAATCTCCAATGTTACACAGAAAATGCTAAACAACAGTTGACGACTAGACTGATTCATTTTTTTTAAATGAGATTTTAATGTAGATCTTTCTTGGACATCCTGTACAATCGGACTGATTTTTTTAACACTTTTTCTTCTATATGGACACTAAGAGATCCTTTTCTTCGAGTCCACTGTGGGTTTGGCCAGGTGTTGAGGAACAGAGCCCAACATATCCAGAACAGACCATCCCCTGAAAAATTCCTGGAGTTATTCCACCTGCCTGGATTTGATCTTGGATCTCCCAGAATGGTAAGGCCTAGCAGATGATGATGCTTTATCTTACTAAAGCCATCTGTCTGGCTAATATATCTGATAAATGTAATATACTTTTAACCATATTTATTGCATAGTTTATTTTCACCAATTTTATAAAAATCATTGTGTGTCTAGAATTTGTTTGAAGTTTAGTTGGTTCAAGCATAATAATATATAAATACTTTGATATGAAAATTTATTTTTAATTTGATAATTTGTAAAATAAGTTATTATATGACATCAGGTAATACTGATTGTGAGAATTTTATATCAAATTTTTGTTTTTATTCAGTGTATCAATACATTTATATTTGTTTTTCCTTGGCATGCTGTATATTAAAAATTTTATCTTCTTATCCTGCATATGTTATAATTTCAACATAGATAAAACAAGTAAATTTATTTGTATTTATAAGTGTTCATGTAGCAGAACACAGAATTTGGCTGGACTTAACTTGCTTGAAAGTTAATATAACATAGAGATAAAATATATCTCAAATTTATATTTTCACAAATAACATATACTGAAAAATTCTTAATATTCAAACCAAAAAAATATCTAATTATAAGAAGATATATTTAACAAAATTAGATGACTATAAAGTATGATTGATGATGATTATAAATTTTACATTAAAAGTATAATAGTATTACAAAAATTTTTGTAAACCATAAGAAATGGAAAAAATCTTAAACCTTTCAAACTGAAAACTATCAACTCTTCTCAAAGAAGCTAATTGAAGCATTGATAATTTTGCTTTAGAAATCTCTTTGAATTTCTTTATATGACACCAACAATGTTTCAAATTCTTATCTAAAGTTCAATATTTAGTGACTAAATCAATGTTTATAAAGTCATCAGTTTGGTCATATGCCATCAGCAGTAGTAGACAAAAAGAATAACATTTTTTTTTTTTTTTGGCATTGAATTACAAATGAAATGTGCCATGCCATTACAGCTTATATTNTAATTTAGCTCACTACTCTAATGAATTGTAATTAAAGTATTGGAAAATTTAAACATTTTTTATCTATTATAAATATTAGTTTACATCTTAAACGATTATTAAACGTTTCAGTTATATTTTGACGTGTTATTTATTATACATATATATATATATATTAATTAAATTAATTAATTAATCATTAAATATTATTTATATCATTGTAATATTATTTAATTAATCATTAAATAATATTACAATATAAAAATGTTTTAATAATATTTTCATTAACTCAATTCTTGGTATAAATTGATAAATTGAAAATGATTGAAAATTGAAAATAAATTGATAAATGGATAAATTGAATTCTAAAATTCTAAACACATTTTTGTGACACCTAATGATTAACATTGATATCAATAAATTTTTTCATGAAATCCATATTCTATTAATGAGCAAAAAACACTTAACACTGATATTTGTTTCTGAAAAACATAACCTGAGACAAATCATTGAATATGTTCCAAATTATTTTTATTTATATTGTTTATTTAAAATAACTGAAATATCAGTCCAATGATCTGTTGTAGTTTTTTAAGAATTCCATTCCTATAACTTTTCATTGATAACATTCATTTGGATGACTGGATTGAAAAACAGTAAAGATATCAGCCTAATGCTGTGGGAATCCTGGTTTGTATTTGTGCAAGAAACCTCAGGAATTTTTTGTAGACAGTTTTATCTCAGATATTTGGGCCCATCCAACTGTCCTCATTGTAGACTAGCTAAATCCATAATGTGTAGGCTATAATTAAAAGGTCCTCTTACAAGTCAGTGTCCACAGGGTGAATAGAAAGAGTTAAAATACATTTGTTTAATGAAATGAATTTAGAAAATAACTTTGACAATATTAACCTAGAAGACTGTTTAATTAATATTTCTATGTTTTTAAAAAATAAAAATTTTACAAAAGTTTTCCGTTTATCAAAAATGAGCTAATGTATGTCCTGAAGATATTTACAGGATATCAGAATATAATGCTCTAAAATTATCTCATTCAAAATGAGATGTCTGGTCACAGATAATCCACATCCATTACATTAATACTATTGTTTATCTTGTAAGATTTATTCTCTCAACCCAAAGTTGAGTTAACATTAATTCAATGTGTACTACAAGAAATTCTCAGTTTTTGTGACTATTACTTTCTCCCGATCCACATAAGTCACATACAATTCATATATCTACCATATACAATTAATTACATAGCCGAATCCTTCTAGAAGTTTCATTCCTAATGCTCGTTCTTTCTCAGTCCTGTTCGCTGATAACTCTCTTTGTTGATCTTGTCGTTCGTCTTGCTCACTCCCCAGATGGAAAGAAAAAAGATGTCTTCTGTTGGCCTTTTATATTTTCCTGTTCTTCCTGGGTCTAACGGACGATGGAACATTTGGGAATGCATCAAATGCATTGTGTTTGAGATAGGAAAACATGACGAGCTATCGTCACAATCCTTTCTTACAAATTTCCAAGATCTCCATTAATTTAGCTAGACTAGGACACAAGCAATCTATATTCAAACAGATTATTTATAATAATCAGTTTATACATACCATACTTGAATGATTTTATTGAAGTTGAAATTTTATAGCATTTCATGTTTAAAAAATTGTTCAATATTGCAGGTATTCTGTATAGATTGCTGAGGATGGGAAGATAAGACCTACTGTAAACATTTTAGCAAAATAAGAGTTGGTTCCCTAATTGGTTTATTGGTGTGATTATAACACTTCATTTTGTTAACTCATAAACTATAAAATTGTCAAGAATCTAAATTTTAGAATATTGTAAACAAATATGTTAAGAAAAAGTATTATTTAACACAATCGACATCATATTTCAAAAATATAAAAAGGAACTGATGTACAAAATTTTTCTATACTTTTATTTATGGTTTGGCTGATGATTGTAAAACATAGTAGCTTTTGTTGTTTCCTAAAGTGTTTTAGTCATTTCAGGATATTGGACATCATTAGAGTATAGAATTATTGATTATAAATACTAGATGACAAATGTATTATCCGTGCATATGATGGACTTGATTCAGGTCTGTATTGGATACTTGGGAATTTTCCATGATAATCTGGTCTGGATATGTTAGCCTTCTTGCATTCCACCTTTTCCACTTGTGTTTGTTTTTAATGTTTGTGTATGCCACATTAATGCAAAAATGGATCTGGTAGCAAAGCAGCTGTCTGCATATTGTCATTATTAACATTGAGAGGGGGCAGTTACATAAAAATGGTGTCAACACCACTTCACATCTTTAATTTTGTATTCTGTTATACTTTTGATGATTTAACAAAAGAACAGTAAAATCTTGGATTTGACACTAAAAACAGCATATCATATTTGTGCCTGATGTCCAGGGCTGGATCATTGCATAGACAAATGAGACAAATGTCTAGGGCCTGGTTTTTAGAAGGGACCGGTCAAACTGTCTATTTTGAAATATATTGATGAAATTTTTAAAATTCTTCACACGAACATAGCTGACGGCAATGATGAGGACCTATCAATTAATACTGCATTGCTAAAAAAATGGTATAGTGGTGACATTGATACTGAAAAATTGGACGAGGAATTGTTGCAATTTAAATTAATTTGAAAAAGCCAAAAATTAACATTGCCATCTGATATGCTGCAATTTATTAAGAACACCAAACTAGTATTAACATTTCCAAATATAGAAATATTATTGCAAATATATTTAACTTTGCCTATATCAAATGCATCTGGTGAAAGGTCATTCTCAGTATTAAAACGTGTAAAAAATTATTTACAA